TGTGCACAGCTACACGAGTGTGTAGACAGCTGTGTGCCTATTCTGTGTCTCTGTGTTTGTGTGTGGCTACCCCATGTTTATGCAGCTGGCTGATGCTTCCCTTTGAAAAACTCTTTTTCTATTAAAAAAAAAAGTGGAAGGGACATTGACAACTGGTTAATGCCTGGGGTTTAGATGACAAACTTTTATATGGTGTTTTGTGGTTCAGATCTTCCTTTACAGAGTCCCTGCTTGGTTCTGAGTCACCTGAACACCCAAAATCTGTTTGAATGATGGCTCGAGTGTTTGTGGGAGTTATCATAAGATGCTTTATGGTAGCATCTTTTATGGCTGTGTTATTAGAAGGGCTGACATGCTGAGGATTCACAGAGACCAGTATTCAAGGTGCACTGGAATGATAAAAAATATTAGTAGACATAATTTGTTATATCTGTGTTTGGTTTGATTACTGTCTTGTGTTTGAAATCCTGTAATTAGGGCAGCGAACTGCCTCCAGAGCCAGCTCTGCTCCTGGTAATACAACACTGGGACGAGTTCCTTTGACTTCAGTAGGTGATTCTTTACAAAGAATGAAGGCTGGAGCCCATGTAAATTAAACATCACCTCTGGGGAGCTGAAGATCACAGAGAGAGCAGGGAAATACTGAGGGTCATCTGTCCCTGTTGAATAACGGAATTAGAAGTATAGATCCCTGGGAATGGGCAGCACCTTGACTTGCTCGATCCCCTCCCCCACTAGATGGCACTGAATTCTTTTTCTTTAAACGAAAAAAAAAAAAGACGAAGAAAGAAAAATATGGTGGAGGTCATTTTGATGTAGAAAAGACCCCAAAAAACCAAAACAAAATATCCACCCCCCCAAAAAAAAAACGACAAAGAAAATCAAATTGCAATGGGCTTTGCATTTGCTGTGTCCATTTACTCTGCCCTTCCTCCCTCCGAGCCCCAGACCCCATCTCTGTGTACCTTTGCACGGGCGCTGGATTTGCTTTTGTGTCGGGAATTCTCGGGAGAGGCGGTGGCCGGCGGAGGATGCTCGGGAGAACGGAGATGATGCTGGGAGGGACTGGAGAGGAGACTGGCCCTGGCTGGAGGATATCCTAGGATATCCTAGCTGGAGGACATCCTAGCTGCGGGATATCCTAGCTGCAGGATGCCTTCCGTAGTGAGCTCTAGCAGGCAGCGCAAGGCTTGTCCCCAGGAATTGGCTCGGAGCACTCACCGGGCTGCTCTCCTCTGTCCCAAGCCTTCGGACATTTTTCCTGTGCACCCGTGTGCTGTGGCTTTTTCTCCCTGGATCACTGCAATTGTAACCCGCAGAAAAGAAAGCCTCAGTTTTCCATCCATCGCTGAAACTGCATTTTCACTGCCTGATTCATTTAAGACCCGTGTATTAGCTCTCTGTGCTGAGATGCCCTTAATTCACTGTCGGGAGTGGTTTCCATGTGTGCGTGGAAGGGTTGTGGTTTTTTTATTTATTATTTTTTTAAAATGTCTTTCTTTCAGCTTGCATTCACGGGAAGATCGACAAAGATTGTTTTTTTCCCCCTGTAGTGAGGCAGGGTTGAGGTGGGAGGAAGAGAATTTAATAATGATCTATTTGTGCTGAGAAGGGGCTGTCTGTAATAATCCTGGTTAGAGACATAGGGAAGATTCCTAATGCCTGCAGCAAGCAATAGTCTGCCCTCCTGAAAAAAAGGGAATAATGATGATGATGACTGAGAAAAATGCTCAATTCAAAGAGTTAAAGAGAGGCTAAAATCCAACATTTTCTTTTACAGTTATATGTTTAAGGTGACTTGCAGAAAGATGTAGACTGCATCTGATAAAGCTACAAATGCAAACAAACAAACAAACAAACAAAACAAAAACAAACAAAAAGCATATAAACTGCCACTGAAATGCCTTTTCAGAGAAAAAGATAAAACCTGGAACTGAATGTCAACTTTTGGCTTTCAAAGCCATGCATAAGAATGAGAAGAGGGAATAAGTCTGGCTTCTCCAGGTACAAAAGTGCTCCTGTCCCAAACTGTCCTGCTGTCTTGGAGAGTGGTGGGAAAATCTGGCACCTGAACTTCCCTTGGTCCAACCAAATCTTGGCTCTTTGGGTTGTCATTCTAATGTTTAACAAGCAATAAATATAGGTGTGAATCCATTATGTGATTTTTCCTATCCTCTCACATATTTTTGGTCAGTATCATGAGAAAAAACAGTTCTAATAGCTGGGTCCTCCACTCTGTTCTTAGTCCCAGTCTTCCAGTTCTGTCTAAACTGGATGTTCAGACAAAAAACAGTTTTGTTTTCCAGTTCCATCTAAATAGAGAATAAACATAGCAGGCTCTTCTGCTTAAACAGAAAATCCAACAATCAGACAAAAAAGATGGTTGGTAAAATTAGGCCTGTTCCCTGTTCTCATCCTTCAGCTTGGGACTTGATGCTAAAAATTGACAAAGAAATCCAGGTGCACTTTCATCTCTGTGTGGGTGTGATACGAGAAACCTGTTTGTCATTTTCTTAGAGGAGCCAACAGCTTTTCGGCCACAAAACTCTCTATTTTATTTCTGAACAGACCACAAGTATGGCTGCTGCAGGCCCACTGTAATATCTACTTCTTTTTATCTACTGACATGTAGTTACTTGAAAAATCCAGTTATAGAAGTGGATCCATCTGTGCTGAACTATTTTTAAAAAAACCTGGGATCCTTAAATACTGGCTGTTATTATTAACAACAAAGGGAAGTTACTGCTAAAAAGATTAAACTAGTCCCTTTTTTCAGTAAAACTCTTAACTTTACCTAGAGCTTTCCAGATACAGTGAATTTTTATAACACAACATTGAATTTTGAAATAAACCAGGTTCAGTAGATGCAGACGATTGTAACCTTTATGGTTTGGATGACTATTTTTTTTCTTTGCTAGTTTCATAATCCTTCAAGGTGCTGTTAGAGAAGACAGTACATTTCACACCAAAAGTGGTTTAATGACACAAATACTCTTCCATAGCTGCAAATCCCAGTTTATATGGGCCCTGGTTTTGCCAGGGAAAATGGGAAATATATATTTTTTTCAATAACACCATTTGGTTTGTGGCCAAAAATTGTTATGATCCAGCCATCCAGGTTAATTTTTTCCTAGTGCAGCTGTATTCCACAAGACAGTCCAGGTTTGTATTTCTGATACACTGAGAGCTACTACATCTGTTCTCCCCACTGGAGCAAGCATAATTTGGGTGGCTAGGATTAAAAGCTAGCAAAATCCCAGGACTCCCCTCTTGGGGCCAAGGACTGTCACCAGCCCTAGAAAGGCTGTGCTTATTTTCAATTCAGATGACACAGCCTGGGATTCAGGGGCCAAAATCTGGTAGGATCCAGCGTGGGTGTGGATGTTTGCAGCATACATCTCTGGGGGAGGCATTGGGCTGTGGACTTTTTGGTGCAGTAGGAACCACTGCATTGTTTGCCTTTGATGCTGTGGAGTCAGTGGGAGCCAAATATTGAATGGGGCTAATTTGGTTCCTTGGTCAACTCCAGGATGCTGTGGTACTCGCAGATCAGGATGTGCCAGCATCCAGCCCTTTTTGGTGCAAGGGAAATGACCATGTGTATTTATTTTTTAAACTGTACAGTTCAGAGTCTGGAAGCCTCATCCTTCTGGATTACACAGAAAGTCTAGAATCCAGGGTTTCTTCCAAGCTCATTCTCTCTATTATGTAGCAGATTGGGATTTCTTTTTTTTTTTTTTTTTTTTTTTTTTTTTTTTTTTTTTTTGGTGCAGTGAGAAACAGCTCCGCTTGTTTTGGATTTGGTTGACATAATGTAAGGGCTTGTGATCAAGAATGATCGGGATCCAGTTAAATCCAGGTTTTACATTTTCCCCTCTTAAGAGAGAGTAAGGCTTCGACATTTCCTGCCTGGGAAGTGGTGCAGTTTATCTTTAAGGAGGATAGAGAAATAAGAAATGAGTCTCACGTTGCATGGGTGACATCACTGGCTTTTGGCTCAGCGCTCTGTATGCTCGGTCTGTAGGCTTCGGCCAAGGCTGCGGGGCTCGGTGTTTGAACAAGGAAAGATTCCCAGGTGTACAGAAGATTGGATTTGCAATTATTTGGGTTAAAAACGGTGAAATGAGATTTCTAAAGCTTGGGGACTCCAGCTCGCCTTCTGTTGCACTTGATCTCTACGAGATGGGTGAGTTATTCCCATTAAAGAGAAAGGGAGTGAAAATTTAAGGAGAAAAAAAAAAAAAAAAAGATGTCTGAATATATAACTACCGATGCCGGGGATACGAAGCTGCTGAGCTAAAACATCTCATCTCCGACAAGGAGACCGGGCCATATGGCAGAGAAATGGTGCAGCCCAAAAGCTGTTGACAACAGTTAGGGGCTGCTTTGCTCTCCCCGTGTAAGGTGTGTAGCTCCCCCCCACCTCCGCCCCGGTTTGTTTTGGTTCGGTTTCCCCCGACCTCCCTCCCTCCCCTCCCCGTTCCTCAGCATCCTCTCCGCCAGCCGTAGCCCTGCCTGCCTTCATCTTGCAGATGGCTAACGTGCCGCCGTGTTAGGAAAACTGTGCACAACACATCGCAGCGCCGGGGACGGAGGAAGCTTTGCAGCTGCCGGCGGAAGGGGGGGCAGCAGCGTGTGTGTGTGTGAGTGTGTATGAGTGTGTGTGAGTGTGGAAGGAGGATGCCGGGGCCCAGGGCAGCCTAGCGGGCAGAGCGCGGCTCCTGCCGGGCTGCGGTGCTGCCGCGGCTCTGCCCGGCCCGGAGCCGGGGAACGGAGGCAGCGCGGCGTTCGGCTGCCCGCATGACAGCGCCCACGGCAAAAGCAGGAGAGTGAATGGCGAGGCTGGCAGAGAGAAGCCGAGGTGTCTCCGAAGCCAAGATGCCAGCGGCTGTCAGCGAAGTCTGCTGAGGGAGAGAGCCGTGCGTGCCGCGTTCCCAGAGGCAGCCGAGGAGGGGATGCTTTAACCACGATCTCAGCAGCAGCAGCAGCAACAACAACAGATTGCTCCCCGCCTCTTGCTCCCTCCCTTTCGACCTCGCTTTAAACCCAAGCAAGTGACCGGCCGTCCAGACGATGATGCTCTTGCTGAGCCACTGACAAAGAAAAGACAAGTCACCCATTCCCGAAACCGGGACAACTGGCTGCTTGCAAGCGGGAGATGTCAGGCTGTTGAACTTTTCTGTCCTGTGATGATGCTGAAGTGAGCTTGCTGATCTGAAAGCCATCTCTTCTGGATTTCTGAGCGGGCCAGATTGAAAGAGATTAATGGACTGATCAGCCATCAGGTCTCTTCAGGGGGATTCATCCCTTCAGCCCCTGTCACTCGGGTGCTTGTGGTGAGGGGTCACTGGTGAAAGGCTGTGTTTCTCCTCACCCGGTCTCCTCTGCAGAGGAGAAGAGGTAGATGAGACTCCAAGACTGTCTCCAGGACAGAACTTTGTAGTGCTCTCAGCATCCCTCTGCAGCGTGGATGTGAGCCACGGGAGTGGGGATGTTTGAGGCTGTCTGTGCCAAGTGACACCTAGCAGCTGCTCCGGTGGTTTTTTTTCTTTTTTTGCGTGGTCTCACCCCACGGCTTTGCCTGTTGTGAAGATGTCCATGGTGTTTCTGTGAAGCTGAGGCATGGCTGCTGGAAGGTTACTGCTCTATGCTGGCCTCTCTTTAGCTCTGTGTGCCCTTGGCATGCTGGCTGTGGCAATCTGCTCTGACCATTGGTACGAAACTGATGCCAGGAAGCACAGAGAGAGGTGCAAGAGCATCACCACTAAGAGAAATGATCCTGGCTTCATTTATAACTCCAACAACAACCTGCCTCTCAGGGCCAGCAGGTCTAGGTTGGACCGCTGGGAAGGGAAACTCCTCTTGGCAAGGAACAGGAGGCAGATCTTTGCGATGAGCGCGGTCGACGAGTGCAACAGACAGTACAACTCCACCAACATGGGGCTCTGGAGGAAATGCCACCGACAGGGATTCGACCAGGAGCTGGAGGAGCTGATTGCCAAAGGTAAGGGCTATTTTTTTTTTACCAGATGAACATGCCAAGCTCTCTGGAGATGAGCGGGGCTGAGCAGAGCCATTTGGGCTCACAGATGGGAGCTGGCATCCCTGGCCGAGTACCTCTCCTTGCAATGGGTGAGCTGGTCTGGCTGGGCATTGCTTCCAGAAGCACTGCCAGGGCAATTTCCCACAGGATCTCTACTCCTGAGACATGGGGTTTGGGAGCAAAAAGGCAATGGGGGAGAGAACACACACACACACACACACACACACACACACACACACACACAGCAGAATATCTTTTTCCTGCCTCTCTCTCTAATCTTGATGTAGTCTTCCCATCACCATGGTATCAGATTATTTCCACACACAAATAAGTATTCATAAAGCAGACACTGGATTTTTTTTTTTTTTTTAAATTTGACCCTGGTGGCTCAGGCAAAGTACATAGTATTTTATTGGAGGCTACATATGTCTGTGTTTCATCACTGCCTTTCTGAATGCCCCATCCATCCTGAAATACACCACTTGCAGTGCTCACATGTAGGCTTTTTCTTTCCTTATGTAGAAAGTAAACAAAGAGAAATGCTAAAGAGCAGGAGACCCAGCTTGCTGTTTACACTGAGCTATGCTTTGGAATATTTTCAATATCTGCAAAACATTACATGAATTTATTAGAAAGGAATAGTTTTCTCTTGGGGTGGAGATGCATCTGTTTGCCTGTAGCATTTTTGTGCTTTTTTTTTTTGCCTAGTCTTTTGGTCCTCTGTCTTAATTTTTCCCCCAGAGTAGTGGTTCAAGGTGATGGTAATTTTGTCCCAAACATTTCTTTGATCTGAGGTATAGGAAGGGGCCACATACATAAACCCCTAGCTAAACAGCAGATGCATGTTTTTGCAGGATGATGAGGGTTTCAGTAAAGGATGACGGCATTTTTGCTACCCACAGCATGGTTACTCTATACTACAAAATAACATTTCCCTCCCATGGTTCTTGTGTTGCAGTCAGAAGATTCCCCATTGGTTTATTTCCATTGTAGTGAAATCATTGCTTCTCATACAGTGCCATCTTCCAAAATACTTGTTTTCCAAGAGTGTTCTCTATCCCAAACTCTATTGATAGCCTTCATTAATTCCCTCCTCAGACATTACAAGTGGAATTATTGCTTAAAGCTACTTATTCAGGAGGGGTGTTCTCTCCTGTTTGCCCATGTACATGTTTTGTTCCATATGTTTTATGAGTAGCATGGTAGAAATTTGTACCAAACTAGTCCAAACAGGTGATGTGCCTGGATCACTGCTTGGGATCCTGTTCCTAGGGACCCTTCATATCCAGCTGCTATTTAACAACTCCTAGGAAATAGATTGGTGTCTTCAGCCCTATTTGTAAAGGACAAGTGGACATGTAAAAAGCTTGTCAGCACCCAGACACCCTGCTGCTGGTTGCAGAGCCAAGGGAGTGATTCCTATTCCTCATCTAGGTGAGGATGGTGTGTGCTGGACTGGCTGTGTGAGCTGGATTGCTCTGCCACGTGTGCTCACTCTGCTCGGGGCATAAACAAATTCAACCTTGACAGCGGGCAAACATGTCACACAGAGCTCACCTTTGCAAACGGAGTTGCAGTTATTAGAGAGGATTTTCATCCTGAAATAAGTGAGGCTCTTTCCTCTCTCTCTGCCTGCTATGTCCAGTGATCAGGAATGTCCTGCTAGAAACAGCTGGAATTGTGTGGTGCTGGGTTATGTGTAATGGCAGCTCTGCTCAGTGTTAACCATAGGGAAAATGTGACAAATCAAGATGAGGTGGTTACATGCAGGAGAAGGTGGCCTTTGAGTGATCTTGCTGCAGTCTGCTTGTGTTCATGTATGTGTGAATGAGTGTGTGAGAGTGTGTGAAGTGAACTAACTCTAGACATACAGCACCCAGCTGGTAGCCAGGGGTTCCCTGGTTCAGGTGCAGGGAGTGTCCCTGCACACACACTCCTGGCTATGTGTGGCTGCAGATGGCCAGGGAGCCACTTCACAAAGTCACTGCCCCCACGTCGGAAGTGCAACTTGTGCACATAAAGGAGCTGTGTGCAAATACCTGGGTGTGTCACTCCCTGACTGCTCAAAATGTTTTCTGATACACTTCTAACAAACTTCATTGTGGGATGAGAGAAGTGCTAAAGGAGGGACACTCATAACATTGACCAGCAGCTTTTTAGCTCATTTGATGGCCTTTCTCAGCCATGATGAAGAGTCACCCATCAGTGCTATAGAGGTGTGTGTTCCCTTGGCACCACTAGACTGAAATACAGAAAAAGCAAGTATAATGGCAATTTGATAAAATAAAGTGTTTGACTTGGAGATGTTTCCTTTTAGATTCTCACTTATATGATGAAAGTGAACTAAGTGTTGTTGCTGTCCAACGTTGAGGAGAGCTGAGTTCAAAACAAGGCAAGTAGGTCCAGGTTCACACCAACAGGATCTATCATGAAAGCAAAAACTAAAAGTAGTTTTCACTTCCATGACAGATACTTCTTTGGGAGTTAGGAGTTGCAGGGATGGGTGTGTGGACAGAGTATGTGTGTGAGGGGCTGCAGGTATTCTCTGTGTGTAGTGTTCAAATAACCTGACTGGCACATATCCTTGCACAGATGAAATCACTCTCACAGATGAGATCCAGGGCAAATACCTTATAAAAGAGGATGTTATTGGTACATAGAGCTTTAACTCTATTTCCTCTGTTAATTTAATGTAATACACCTCTTCTAGAAGTGGATAAACTAATGTAGGTTCTGGCCCCAAATGTTGTGTGTAATGTTAAATATATTTGAACGTAAATTTTATTAAGTGTTTTCCCAAATGTTGTGTGTAATGTTAAATATATTTGAACGTAAATTTTATTAAGTGTTTAGGCTTTTTGTTTGTTTGTTTTTAAAGCTGGACAGGATCTGTAATACAGTTAGTTTAAAACAGATCCTACATTTTTCCCTAGGCAAAACTTCCAGTATTGAGAATGGTCTATAGAGATTTGTCTATCAAAGTATAACAAAAAAATGGTCATTAAGAGCCTAACTAGCTTTTCAAATACCCTGCAGTTATTCTGCTTATGAACTCTGCTGAAATTAATACAAGCTATAGGCAATGGCTTGTGGCAGGATCAGGAACTGTGGTACTTGGAAATGTTCTGATACCAGTGATTTTAAAAACCAGTTCTGTTCCTGAATAGGTTGGGTCACTTCTGTAATTCTGTTCTGTACTTATTAATTTTTACTTTCTGGAAAATAAATCAAGACCTTTACATTGGATTTCACTAGAAAAACTGGAGATATGTTGCTTCAGGTTTCTTATATTTAGGTATAATAGATAGTAATACATAAATAAAATAGTTGGTCCTATTTTTATTTCTCCTGTGGTTATTTTGGTATTTTCATAGAACCCATGTGCATATTTCAAAATAATACAATTAGATAAATAGGCAGTGAATTAAAAGAGATTGTCACAAGTAAGAATACTCAGGGAGAGGCAGACAAGCATGAGACCAAAGACTTGAGGAGTATTCTAAAGCTGCAACAAAATTAGGCATTGTTAGTTCATTATTAGGCAAAAATAGTTCATATTTTCTCTCTGTCATCATGAAAAAACATCAAATCAGAAACAACAGAAATAACAATCAATAAAGAAATTATTGGAGTTGAATGTGCAAACTGAGGTTCTCGGTCTTGCTAACTTTTTCTCAGCTGAATAATCTGTATTTCTGGGAATGGACTGCTTGGACTGAGGGAAAGGACTCTGGTACAGAGGGACAATGAAAAAGCAAGAGGTGACAGAGCTGTTCCTCTGATTCTGCTTTCACATCTGATGGAGCCTTTTAGCATCTCAGGACCTGAGTTTCACTCCTGATCCCTGAAGCCTTGCAGAGTCAGGAAATGCTGGCTCTGGGGCTGCTCAGCATAATATTCTAGAATTCTTCAGACTCTCAGGTGTTTTTCCAGTCTCCTCCACCCACTGCTAGCCTTGCTGCTGGATCTTGGGGCATAGAGTTCACCCTGTGCAATCAGATCCACTGTTGGCATGGAATTTCTAGCAAAGGCAGCAATCCCTTAGCCAAGCAACAGCTCTGAGTGAGCCAACCAACTCCAGCCCTGAGCAAGCAGAGAGCTGGAAATGCAGGTGAGTGGCTGGGAGAAGGCAGAGTTTGTGTCCTGCTTTGGCAACCAGCAGTTCACAACTCCTTGTGTACAAATTTTAGGGAGCCAGAAAAGCAAATGGAGAGCCACAGAGTCTGCCTGCATCCCATGGCAATGTTGGTCAGATGCTCTTCTGCAGTAGTTGAGAGGAAAAAAGGGAATCACATCATTTAATTATAAAGGTACAATAAAGTAGATGAAGAAGTTGCACAATAACCAGAGTCTGTTCCATTTAGACAATTACTACTCAGAGGAACTTTCATCTTGCCTTTGGAAGGCTGCCAGTTAAACCTGACTGGATGGGGCTCTGCTGCCTGCCATTGGAATCCAATTTTTATTTAAAAAGACCCAGAATTTACAATGACCCTATTATTTCAACCCTCCTTTTACCTTCCTTCTTCCCCTGACATCTTTGGAAGTCATAGTAAATCCTATTTTTAAAACTTCTTATTGTGAGTATACTTAGCCCATGCCACCACTGAAAAAAAACCCCAAAAACCTAAGTAACTCCTGTGCAGCTTACCTCCACCTGAAATAATATGCAAGATTTTTGGGATGAAAGCATTCTCTGGGTTGGTTTGTCAGATGCATGGCATAAGTGAGGAAGAAAGGCTTAACAGGACGACTCCAGCCGTCACTAGGGATTATTTATACACAAATGGGAAGAGGCTACTGAAGAGAGGCTACTTGCAGCTATATCTAGGAGTAAAAAGATTCATTTTTATTAAAATTCTTGCAATACCTTGCAATGCTCTAGATTTGATTTTTAAAGTGCAGTGGTTTTGACAGGTAAATTAGGACAGCCATTTTTTTCATGTATCCTTTATACATGA